CCCTCACACCCCTAATCGTATCTTGCACCCCCCTGCACACCCAACCATGGTATTCAGTACCCCTCTGCGCTCTTGCCCGTGCTACCCCTGCACCCCAATAATGCAACTGCTGCACCCCAACCCATGCAGCCTCCTGCACCCCTAACCAGGTACCCTGTAGCCCCCTGCACTCCTAACCATGGTATCCTGCCCCCCCCTTCACCACCCCCCTAACCACAGTACCCCTGCCCACAGTACCCTGCACTCCCCACAATTCTAATCATGGTACCCCTGCACCCACTGTGCCCCCTCCCTGCACCCCAGCCACGGTACTCCTATACACTACCTGTGCCACTTTGCTCCCCTAGCCACAGTACCCCTGCACGCCCCTGCACCCCTAACCACAGTCCCCCTGCAGCCCTCTGATAGCCTCTCTGTACCCCCTACTCCCATACCCCCCGTGTCCCCCTTCACCCCTCCTGTTGCACCCCCATGTGCCCCTAAGCACCCCACATCCTCCTGCTCCTCCAGTGGCCCAGCACTCCTCAAACATGCAGTACCCTGTCACCCTCCTTTAGCCCCCCCAGCCCCTCTGTCTTCTGTAAGTGCTTGATTCCCCTTCACCACCCCCATTTCCCTGCACCCCCAGTGCCTTTTCTTGCACCTCTCCTGCACCCCCTAAGCAGGCAGTGTCTCCCTTTCCTTACCTGCACCCCTTACACCAGGGTCCTGCCTTCCCTGCCTGACCTCCTCCAGCATCCCCCCGGACCTCTGACTGCTGACTAACCCTGACTACTGTGTGCCCCTGCCCTATACACCCTTCTTCCCCACATAACCCTCTTCCCCACCTTTTCTTCCCTACTAGTCTTTTCTCTTCCCTTTACTCCCTACTAGTCCCATACGTCCCAGCTAGCCCTTCCCTGGATCTCACTGCTCGCCCCACACCTGGGCATCACATCTTGCCCTGGCATCATGTTTGGGGCAGGAACATGCACTTTGCGGGCACGGTAAAAGGATGGAGTGGGGACCACACACCATCCTGCCCCCATACCCAGGTGGGGGAGACTTCTCTCGTGGTGGCAGTGTCCCAAGACTTGCACCAGGGAGACCTTTGCCCTGTTCCACTTTGGTTTCTGTGACGACTGAGCTTGCTGGCGGACTTTGGAGGGGCCAGTGGGTGATTAACCATCTTGCTGCTCTTCCCCCAGAGCTTTGCAGCCCCAGTCCCTGACATGGCACCCGGGAAGCCTGGCAAGAGCACGGGGGCCTCGGAGGACCCCTCAGTTACGCTTTTCCGGGAGTACCTGAAGATTGACACCGTCCACCCCAAACCTGACTATGGTGAGGATGGGGGAGACGGGACGGGGAGCCATGTGGGGATCCAGCAATGCAGCTTTGCAGCTCTGGTCTTTGGACCCGGGTGCCCAAGTCCTGTGCCGGGTCTGTTTTGATCATGGTGTTAAGGAGCGAAGGCTTTTGTGCCTTATCTCTGCTGGTGCCTTTGGCTGGTGCAGGGACATCTTGAGTGCACCTGGAGCTGTTGGCTTCCACCAGACCTGTGCCCCAGGCCCCAGCTTTCCATGCTGCCCTGACCTTGGGACAGATGCCTGTGGTAACCCCATGTAGATCTCCTTCTGTTAATGTTTTCATCCTTCCACTAAAGTATATTTTTTTATTGATGAGGAGCTTCCAAAACTCCTGTTGAGGACCATCCCCCCGAAATTCATCCCCTTCAATTTTTATTTTTCATGTTCTCCTCGTCCTCACCCCAAAGGGATGGTGATGAGCCACTCCTGGCCACATCTAGTGCCCAAGACCTCTATCACCTGCCCCCTCTGGTCACCTCTTTCCTTGGCCTGGGAAACCCAGAGAACCTTGGGGTCCCTGAGGGGCTGCAGTGAGAAGGGAGGGAGATCCTGACGTAACTCCAGGTATCCCTGCTTCTCCCCAGATGCAGCTGTCCGGTTTCTGGAGCGTGTCGGCACCGACCTGGGCTTGGCGTGCCAGAAAGTGGAGGTGAGCGAGGCAAAGAGCAGCCCCTGGTCCGACCATCCATCCATCCGCACCCGGGTCCTTAGTGACTGGGCTGTCCCCCTGCCTGCTGCCTTGGAGTTGGGCAGAAGTGAATCCCCTCTGCCTGTAATCCCCTGCTGACATGAGCCCTTCCTTAAGCCTGTATTCCGGCTGGTCCCTGCTGACCTTTGCAGCCGCCTGTGCTATGATTAGCCAGGGACCTGGCAGGGTCATGTTGTCTGGGGACGTCCTTCCTGCTGGGCACTGGCTGTCCCAGGGAACTCCTGGGCACTGGAGGAAGATGCTGGGTTCATCCCCCTCCTCTGTCTGAACTGCACCCAGGAGCTTGCACCTACACCTGGGCCCCAGCTGGCTCTGGGGGGTGCAGGCATGCCCACTCCTCCTGCCTGACCTCCCAGCAGAGAAAGGGGTGACCTGCTGGGTGGCAACAAGAAACTTTTCCCAGGCTGATGCTTTTTTGGCTCCAGCCTGCCGATCCCAACCCCTCTGTCCCCAGCCTGGACCCCGGTGACATCCTGCCCTCACCCCACAGGTATGCCAAGGCCGCGTGGTGCTGATCCTGACTTGGCAGGGCACAAAGCCCCGCCTGCGCTCCATCCTTCTCAACTCCCACACTGACGTCGTGCCCGTCTTTGAGGTGCCGGGACAGGGCAAGGGGCAGGATGGGGAAGTGGGGAGGACTAGGGGTGGCAGGCAAATGGCAGCTGGTGTCCGCTGTGCCCCTCTGCTATCACAGCCACTGTTCCCTGCAGGAGCACTGGACCTACCCACCCTTTGAGGCTGTTAAGGACTCACAAGGCAACATCTACGCCCGGGGTGCCCAGGACATGAAGTGTGTCTCCATCCAGTGAGTGGAGGGCTCTGCACCCACCACGTGGGCACAGTGGTGGGGGTGCCTCTGAGTGTTGCAGGATGGGATGCCACCATCCCCAGGGTCCCTGGGGCTGAGGGTGTCACCTGTTGACCCCCCTGGGGTGGCTCAGAGCACACCAGCCCCTCTCTTCTGTGATGCCCAGGCACCACCTTCTCCCTGCAGGTACCTCGAGGCCATCCGGAGGCTGAAGACAGAGGGAAAGTGTTTTGCCCGCACCATCCACCTCACCTTTGTGCCTGGTGAGTCCCCAGCATGTCCCCTCTTGGGAGGACAGGAGGGGCTGGCAGCTGGGTGATGCTCTGGAGTTTGGCAGCTGGGCACACCCCTGCCAGCCTCTCTAGATTTTGAGCTCCCCTAGCTCAAGGCTGGAGGGGTTTCCATGTCTGAGGACATCAGGTGCGCCAGTGGCATCCAGGCTGGCGTGGAAGGAGGACCAGGGGGTGGTGGGCCAGGGGACGCTTTGGTTCCTTCCTCCACGCCAGGCTCTCCCCTGCAGACGAGGAGGTGGGCGGACACAAGGGCATGGAGATGTTTGTGCAGTGCCCCGAGTTCAGAGCGCTCAACGTGGGCTTCGCCCTGGATGAGGGTGAGTGGTGGTAGGGCTGGCACAGGGATGTGTCTCCTCTTGGCACCCACCCCTCTGCCTCTTGTCATCGCCCCCTGGGCATTGGCACACAGCACGGCTTCCAGGGACCCCCTTGGGGGCTCCTTCCCCCTGGCAGTGACCCACATGGTGCCAGCCTGGAGGGGACATGCTGCCAGGGCAAAGCAGAGGGGGACACATCATGGCACCTCTGTGCCCCAGTGACCCCCTGTCTGTGCCCACCACAGGCCTGGCCAGCCCGTCTGACACCTTCAGCGTCTTCTATGGCGAGAAGAGCCCGTGGTGTGAGTAGCTGTGTGCCCACCTCTCTGTCCTGGCTCTGCCAGGCACTGGGGCACCAGTGCCACCCTGGGCTTTCTGCTCAATGCCTCCCTCTCCCCCCTACTGCCGCAGGGATAAAGGTGAAGTGCGTGGGTAGCCCCGGGCATGGGTCCCGCTTCATCAGCAACACTGCGGCCGAGAAGATGGTAAGAGGGGGTACACCCTGTGCACCCCTCCCCGCCTGCCTTGGTGCTGCCGGCCGCCTGCCTACAGGGCTAGTGCTCAGCCGCTGCCCTTCCCTCCCCAGCACAAAGTCATCACCTCCTTCCTGGCCTTCAGGGAGAGCGAGAAGCAGAGGTAGGAGACGGGCAGTGGGATGGCTGTGACTTCAGTTTGGTCTGTGGAGGGGGTCCTCAGGATCCCAAGCCAGGCTCTGATTCATTGCTGCTGCCCCGTGCCTCAGTTTCCCCGCTTGGGGGTGGCGGCAGGGTGGGGGAGCGCTTCCCCTCCTCCCTGGGTGGCGGAGGGTGACTCTCCCTTGCGTCCCCCCGAGGCTCAAGTCCGACTCAAGCCTGACCCTAGGGGACGTCACCTCGCTCAACATGACCATGCTGGAGGGGGGCGTCTCCTTCAACGTGGTGCCCTCCGAGATGGCAGCCAGCTTCGACATCCGCATACCACCCACTGTGGACCTGAAGGTGGGTGCCACACTGGACCCACCTGGGAGGGGAGCGGGTTAGCGGTTACCCCACTTACACCCCGCCTCTGGTCTCCGCCGCAGGCCTTCGAGGAGCAGGTGGCTGCGTGGTGCCGTGATGCTGGGGACGGTGTCACCTATGAGTTTCACCAGGTGAGGGGTCTTGGCCACCTGGCTGTATCATGCCCATCCCTCCCCTGCCACATGTCTACCCTCCCTGCCCTCTCCCTCCCTCAGAAATGCATGGACCAACACATCACCTCCACCGAGGAGTCGGACCCGTGGTGGAAGGCCTTCAATGGGGTCTGCAGGGACATGTGAGTAGTGACCCCAGGCAGGGCAGGACCCTGGCAAAGACAACCTCTGGTTGGAGCCAGGGGATCCTCGGGGGTCTGTCATGTCATGGCAGGGGGTGGGAGGAGATGCTCCATGCCATGCCAGGACATGTCCCCATGCCCCCCCCCCCAAAAGGTATGGGATTGAGTGTCCTGTGGGGCTGAGGGACCTTCCTGGCATGGTCTCTTTGCCCGCGGAGTGTCAGCGGGGCAGGGGACCTGGCTGCCTCTGTGCCAGTCTGATGCAGAGTCTCGCTTGTCAGGAAGCTGCAGCTCAAGCTTGAGATCTTCCCGGCTGCCACCGACAGACGCTACATCCGAGCAGTGAGTCAGATGCCCGACTTCCTCTCG